TGCTTTGAGAGTTTCTTGAGAGTTTAGTTTTTGGTTGCTTTGAGAGTCTTCGAGGTCTCTTTGTGAGGAGAATTTGGAAACTAAGGTTCCAACGTACTTGCAGCATGGCCACTCAGCACGAAATCCAGATGCTCAGATCTTTGCTGGGAAGTGTTCATTACAATGAGAGCCAGGCCTATCCTTTGCATGTGACCCCCACCTGTGCTCCTTTGTTTTGTGCCCTGTATGCACCATGAATAGCGTGCCATTTTGGCATGGAGGAGGATGTTTGGAAGTCGCCTGATGATGATCTTCCCGACTTCAGCGCACTCACCACATCCACTGCCTTTTGATTGATATTATCGGCGCAGAAGTTCTGAGAGTTCAGTTAAATGAAAGTTTGAGGATGCTGAAAAACTTGAGGCAAGAAGTTCCAAAGATCCTGAAGTGTTACCTCTTGCGGTTGCTTTGTTGCATAATGTTGAGTTATTGTCGCCCAAGATTTCGTAGATGAGTTATTGCAACCCGAGATTGTTGAGTTATTGTGACCCAATTTGTCACCAAGCCAGGAACCTGATGAGTCGGGGTTGAGGAAGGAAGGAGAATCCATTTCCGCAGAAGATCAGAAACTGTTGGACGAGGTGCTTAAGTATTGAAAGTTTGAGGGTTCCGAGTGGAGAGTTTTGCAAGTTTTGAGAGTTTGAGAGTCGAGATTGAGAGTTATTTGAGGGGCTGAGCTGGCTCATGAAAAGGATGAGGAAGTGCGAAGGTAAGTGGGCCTTCAGGTTCAGTCAACTTCAGTTCTGAGAGGTACTTGGCAAGAAGAAAGAAGATAATTTTGTCGTGGAGGCAGCCGAATACGTACGTATGCTTATATAGCTTAAACACCAATATTCTTGCAAGTGCAAGCTTTAAGGTATCCAGCAGCAGCCAAGAACAGGACGAGGAGGCACCTCCGTGCAAACGCCCGGCAGCTCGCACCAGCGCCAAACGCCCGGCAGCTCGCACCAGCACCGACCCGGACAAGGAACCTCCACGTAAACGCCCGGCAGCTGCTCGCAAGAGAGCAAAGAATCCTCAGAAGAAGTGGAAGAAGATGTTTTATAATCTTACGGAGAAAGCGGCGCTTCGCAACAACTTTAGCCATGGTCGTCAGATCATGCAGTTTGGCCAAAAGGGCATGAGCAAGGAGCTGGCGTATGGCATCTTGGACGAATGCATTGGACACCTGGAGACAGGGACACTGACTGCAGAGCAGGCCAAGGAGTGGTGCGAGAACAAGTTGAAAGATGTTGACTAGCCTGTTGGTGGAAGAAAAAATTGCCCACTGACAGCTCTTGAGGGAGTCTTTGAGTTCACTGAGAGTTTCAATTTGCTGAGAGTTCTGGAGAGTTATGAGTTTTGAGAGTTTTAAGATTTTCTTCAGAGTTTCTGAGAGCTGAGTTTGCGAGGTTTGCAAACCAATTGAGGCTTGCGCAAAATCGTGATATGCTTATCGATCTCTAAATCTATATCTATATAGCTTTTGGCGCAAACACGCTTTCTTTGACAGTTTTCCCGAAGAACTCGATCGCTGTGATTTGTTCGTGCCAAGAGGATGGCCAAGGCAACGAGGATGCATCGTCCAGCCACGCCAATGCTGCCAATAGTGCGGCCGACGCTTCCAGTTCTGCCAACGCTGTCAATGAGCCAGCTGCGAATGAGCCAGCCTCAAAGACCAAGAAGAAGAAAAACAAAAAGAACAAGGCCAAGGGCAAGGCAAGACCTTCAAAGAGCAACTGAGTGAGAGCTCTCGGAGAACCTCCTTTGTTAGGAGCTTGAAAGATTCTGTCAGTTTTTGAAGCGGTTTTTGAAGCGAAAAATGGATGCGCTAATCGAGCTTGGAGAGTATTTTTGGTTTCTACCTATAGTCATGGTTGTTTGTTTGATCTCTCCGTATTTTGAGAGCTTTGAGAGTTTAGAGAGAATTTGCTTGGACAGTTTTCTGGAAAGCTTCGAGAGAGTTTTGAGAGTTTGACTTAGAGAAGACAGGTGTGCCGTGACCGACCATTATATGTTCATCCGTCACAACCGATATTGTATTTGGCCCAAGAAGCAGGACGAGGAAAGCTCATGCGTTTCACTTGAATGCGTTCACAATCTCGGGAATAGTTAGAATATCTGAGTCTCAGTGCGAGCTATTGCGCATTTCACAATTTCACATGTATATCTGTAGAAATACTTCCCACTCTCGGGAATAACATTTGAAGTGTTCACAATATCTGACTCTCAGTGCGACCTATTGGGCATTTCACAATTTCACATGGGAAGCAAATATATATACCTCCCAGCAAATCCCTGCGACACATATTGCACATATGTCACAATTGTACATGTGACAGTGCGACACATATTGCGCATATGTCACATACATCTCCTATTTGAGAGATCCGTGTAAGAGCCATGGTGTTGTGGTACTTCACCAACGTACCATTCCACTTCACAGAATTAGCTTTGCAAAGGTGGGAGCTTTGAGAGTTTTGATGAGAACTCTGTGTTTGCTTGAGAGCTTTAATGAGAGCTGCTACAGGTTGCTCGGTGTCGGATGTGTCAGATGTCATCGCTGCACCCTTTGAGAGTGAAATTTTGCTCAATATCAGCTGAGCCGCGTAGAGCCAACGTCCTTAATTGTGATCATGACTGAAACTTCGAGGTTCGCGCAATGTGTTCGCTTTTTGCAAGCGGTTGCTGATGAGAGAATCTGTGTCAGCTGCTGGGCTGAGATGCTTGAGGAATACTTGGAAAGGTGGGCCATATATTGAGATTTGTTGATTAACAATGGACACCCCAGTCAATATGCAAGCTTGCTTGCGCAGGGAAGACTACATTCAACTACTTCGAGTATCGAAAGATTGTCGGTGCGATTTGGACAGCCAGCCAGAAGATGCAGAAGAAGATGCAGATCTGGATGCCAGACAGCCGTGAAGCAGAGTCTTCCTTCCAAATAGAGTTTGCAGGTGACCTTCCAGCAAAAGCGTCGGGAGGGCACCTAGACATATGACCACGATCGAATCAGAATATCCAGCCGCTGGTCAATGATCGACCAGATCGGTTGACGCATATATGTTGGGTGGAAAAACTGTGTGTTTCTATGCGTGCCAAATGGGCTCAGGGGACGGTCCATGGTGTGGTGAGGATCGAAGCATATACGATATATAGGTTAGTTGACAGTTCCGAGTGTTTTCTTAATGCCGCAGCCATATATGGTCATATGGTCTGGAGCTTAGAGTTTTTTGAGTTTCTGGTGTTTGAGTTTTCGGGGTTTAAATGGAAATTTCAACGAACCCCTACTAGCAAGGTTGTCAATAGGAAGACGTTGTTCAATTTGTTTGGAGAGTTAAGTCTGAGTGTTTCAAGAGGCTGAACCTTCGTTTGACAGGGTGAATCCTCATCCTTTTCAGGAGCCAGTCAGCCCCTCATATACTCTCAATCCCAAAAACTCTCCATTCAGAACCCTCAAACGTTCAATGCAGACATTTCAAGAAACCCGAAGCAGCTGCGCCACCTCCTGCTGTGCCAAATTTCACCACCAGGCCTGTTCGAAGACTTGCGCATAAGCTAGGTTTGAGAGACTTAATTGCGGGTTTTGAGAGAGTTGCGCGTGAGAGTTTGAGAGAGATTCTGCCCACTGGCAATGTTGTTGTTGGTGGTGGTGGCGTTGGTGGTGGTGGTCGTGTCTACACTCGCAAGATAGTTTACTATTCCAAACAAGCTTTATTATTGGAAATATATTTTATTTTATTCTTTTCCATCTTTGGAAAACAAAATTTTATTATCAATAAATAGATTTTTTATTTCAAAAATAGTAAATTTTTATTGTCAGAAAAATAAGATTTATCATTTTTTAAAATTTATTTTTTTCATAAAACTTATGATTTTCACACATTTTCTCTTAAAGGATTCTTATGGATCTCCGGGCCCAAGGGGCCAGCGGTCATCTCGCTAGGCTTAACTAAGTCAGGAGCCCGCCAGGGGGCCAGTGAGAGCGTCACGATAGTAGACACTTCCGTGCTGCCATCGTTGTATAGTTGGAAGCGCCGGAGCTCGGCCAACTCATACTTGACCTCTAAACCCCATGCTTGGCGCAAGACTTTTAACCAAGCCATTGCGGGACTTCAGTTGACCGCATTGGGCCTGCGTCCGTATTCATTACGGCGCGGGGGCGCCACCTTTTTCTTCCAACACCACGGAAGTTTCGATAAATTGCTGCTCCAAGGGAGGTGGGCAGCAGCAAAAACCGCCCGAATATACCTGAACGAAGGGTTGGCACAGTTGTCTGAGATGCAGGTTCCTAATTCGCGTTTGCGGACCTATGCATGTTTTTACCTCCAGAACCCGATCCTTGAGCCTGGGCCCCGGAAGGCGCCCAGGTCAGGGGGACGTGGAAGAGCTAGTAAAAGAGTCTTTTTTCTGCACGAGAGGGGTAGCGGGAATGTACCCCAAAAAGAGACTTCCTGATGGGGAGAGTAAACAGGAAGTGTTTCCTCTTAAGTGTTCGGGCCCAGGGGGCTCCGGTATGGCGGATGCAGTCCTGGGGGGCACTCACCTTTCTCTGGTCTGGCGGGAAAGGCTGAGTGTCGGGGCCCCGAAGAGGATGGTGCTCTGTTCTTGGACAAACCTGCTGCAACGCGTGAAAAATGACCGACGGCTGTGCTTGAATATATAATACTATACATCTCTAGATTCAATAGCTTTCCTTTGGATCTCTGGGAAAGTAGATGTCCTAGATGTTTGTATTTTCATTGAAGGACAGCTTTTGAAAGAAACACTTACATACATACTTATAGCTTTTTAAAAATACCATGACAATTTCCAGAGATCCAGAGGAAAACTTTTGAAATGAAAGCTTTATATTTGTTCACAGAAGTGATCAGATCCAGAGGGAACCTTTTGAATTAGAAGCTTGTACATATAGCAGTTTTAATATAGCAATGATTATTCCAAGGGATTTGCAAGAAATCACTGTAAAACACAGTGTTTTTGCATCCTTTTTTGCATGAAACACATCTCCCAGGAGCACCCGTTCTGTATACATATATATATATATATCTGTGTGTGTGGGCTCTTTCGATGTCGCAAGGATCATTTGCTTCACACTCGCTGTGTTTACAGGAGCTACAGGTGTTTGAGGGCAATATATGGGACCCAATCATGTCTTGAATGGTCCGATATCACACTAAGAAAAGTCCGCTGCCTGAGTGCATGAATGGTGCATCACTTCCAAATCTCGGAGATTCTTACCCCTTCCACTTTTCTTCCTTTCAGGGACAATCCAAGCGCCCCCGCTCCACCAGGTACTGGAGCAGCTGCGGGAGTTAGGCCAACTGCCCAAGCGCGCCATCTTCGTGGAACTCCGTACGGCGCGGCCAGTGATCACTGGAGAGGGTGCCATGTTCCCACGAGGAGGAGCAGGTGGTGGGCTGAATTTGCGGCAGACAGGTGGGGAGCTTGAGCGAGGTCGGTGGTGAGGAGCTGGAGGAGCTTCTTAATGGCGTTTGTTCTTTCTTCAGTGCACAGTGCAGAGGACATGTTTTGGAGAGTATTGATGATTCATTATTCCTAAAACGCAGGTTCCTCCAGATGTCGTGGCTGCTAACTTGCTATAGGTGTTTTCTTCATACATACTGGGATTTGGAGGTGTTTTTGGGGCACCTGGCTTATAGTATAGTTAGATAAAATTCAAGGCTTGGCTGAAGACACCCGACGTTTTGCAATGACCTGCTCACATGGTGCACCGGTGTCTCCATCCTTCTGAAAAAGAGGTCATGCATAGGACCCAACATGTAAAACGGCATGGGTTTCTGCCATTGAGCCCAACGAAAAAGACTCACGATGCTTTGATGATTGGCCAAGATGCGGGACGCTAGGCACGTGCAACAAGAATGAAACACACAAACATCTGCACGCCCCAGCCAGGTTTCATTGGGGAGCTTGGACCTGAATTCGCTTTCAGCGCCTTACTGCAGTTCGAGAGCGAGTGCTGTGGCGGTGGCCTTGACAGCAGTGGGTTGAACGGGGCCTTGACGGCTGGAACTTCCGTCCACCTAGCGAGACGGACTGAGACTCTCCACCTCATCCACTTCCTGGTAGCAACGCCAGAAGCCCCTAGTAGCGTCTTTGCTCCTAGTAGCAAAGCCAGAAGCCCCTAGCGTCTGTGCTCCTAGTAGCAAGGCCAAAAGCCCCTAGTAGCGTCTTTGCTCCTAGTAGCAAGGCCAGGAGCCCCTAGTAGCGTCCTTGCTCCTAGTAGCGTTCTTCCAGTATCTGGTAGAACCAGAAATGCTTCTTCCAAAGGGAAAAGGCGCTCTTTGGCAAGTTCCTTTTTCTTAATGCCCATGCTGGCTCGGCGTGCCTGGCTGGGCGTAAATAACATGTGAATAAGCCGAGGTTCAGTATATACATATAAAGATCAAAAGGATGTATTTCCATTGAAACCATCATCTCATGAGAACGCATGAGAAAACTGGACGGCTGAAGGTTAAAAGATGCAATGGACACGCGGTTTTCTTGACTTCGGGTTCTGGTTCCACATGGTGTCGCCTCCGCGTCGCAAACATCGCCTCTCGTCCGGTTTTGGCTCAAGATCATTAACATCCACAGCCGAACGAGCCTTGGTGGTGTTCAACTGACTTCCCTCAACAGCACGGCCTCCCCGCCAAAACCTTCGAAGCTGATCTGGCATGGTTTCTGCAAAGATCCGATCTTAACTGCCTCATGCTCCAGTTTTCCACTTGTTCCAGCATCTGGTTTCTTTTTGGAACGCCACCGGCTCTCGGACGTGGCAGACCCTAAAAGGGATCGATTTTTGCGACCTTTTCCCGGCGATGCTCTCCTCCGACCTTTCCGTCTTCGATGACATCCTTCCAACGCTGGATCCACGTTTGCAGGCCGAGTTCGCGGCAGACGCAAAGAGGATGGAAAAACAGGGAAAAAGAGAGACAGACAGACAGACAGATGTCTTTCATGGTTAACCCCCCAACTGCGGAAAAGCTTTCACCTGGGCACAAGGCAGGCAAATGGACAAAGTAGGTCTAGGTCTTCTCACAAGCAAGACCTCAACCAGACGTTGAAGATAAAGATGGGCCTCAAAATGTTGACCGCAGCCGGTGACCTTGGCCATGTCTTCTCGTCTCGATCAGGTTCTCATCCTCTTTTGCGTGCAGGCTGGTGTTGTTTCCCTCTCCAGACCAGGGGGAGCAGTGTGCTTCCTCGGACTCTTCCCCACTTTCGGTGCTGCATCGATGCGAAAAGTTGTGACTACTAGCCATGCCCTTGTTTCTAGTAGCTTTTTGTGACTGGCAGTAATGCCAGGAGCTACTAGTAGCTTCTTGCTCCTAGTAGCGATGTTGGCACTTTTGCTCAAAGATCTTTCTCCAAGATGCCCGGAAGCCTTTGGAATGAACCATTTTCATCCATTTCCCTTGTAGAAGGCAGAAAGCCCATTGCCTTAGACTTGGTGAAGCTTGATCGCTGAGTTTGGTGGGGGTTGGCACAAGGGTAGTAGTATAATTAGTGCGAGTTGACGGGGCAATTCAGTCTGACATACTCAATGACCTGCCAGGAGGGCCGGATCACACAGCAAAGTAAGCATGTGACCAATGCAACTGGTGCGCACCGTTCGATGGCAGGCGATTCCCGTGTTGATCACTCCTGTGCTGGTCTTGAACCTGTCACGTTGCAACTTGTCGGGAGACGCGCAGAAGTTAGGGATGTGTTGAGCCTACTGAGCTATAGCTACAGTGAAATGCTATTAGGTTGGAGGCTATCGCTATATTAGGAGGCTGTTGCTGTTCGGTTGGAGGCCCTCGCTATTAGGTTGGAGGCAGTCGCTATTAGGTTGCAGGCCACCGCTATGTGTTGATCCTACTTAGCTATATACTTTGCTATAAAACAGTTCGCAAAGAGTGTTTGGCTTGGCAAATCTGATCATGCATGCCACTATGTCATACTATGTCGTGATCCTCAACTTAGAACCCAACATGTGAATCATGTGCGTCAACACCACCCTACATAGTTGCCAAAAGAGGCGCAAAGGCAATGTTGACCACATGTGCGCTTGAACTACTGGGGACGTTTGTCCATGTGAACTCCGGGTCGAGCAAGGCAGTGGAGGTACTGTCGAAAGTGATGTCTTCTGCTCAGGTGGTCATGCAAAGCATAGATTGTGAGCATGCAAGCTTTTTTGGGGGGCTGGGCTCATAGGATATCCAACCATTTGTAACCTGTTGTGTTATTACTTTCTGTCTTGTTGGGTCTGACTGCAAGCTCTCCAACACCACAATAGACTCAATCAACCTCACAGCCTTTGGTGTGAACAGTCGACCTCCGGCAACCGTGACACTGCCCTCAAGGTAAGAAGCGCTCGAAGCGAAACTCCAACAGCGGCCTCTCCCGTTCCCACATCCGTCCTGAAGTGCAGAAGAAGGTGAAGGCCGGGCAAAGGGAAGATCCTTTAAGTGTTGAACCGCCAAAACGGACAGAACCAGATGCTCTGTTTGTGGGCGCTTTTTTGGGCGTGGATGCCTGTGAATCGGTGGTGAATGATGCGGAGCGGTGTTGCCGAGTGAAGCTTATGTCTGTCCTGGAGGCCCTGTTGGAAATGAAGAAGATAAGTGCATGCAGATGCTCGGATGTAGTAGTGCTTGGTGTTCACCACTGCTGAAGTCGGCTGTGCTTTGGGGATCTTGTTTTGTTTTCCTCACCCAGCCAGTCTGTTTATGTTGTGCACGTCTGTAAGACAAAGCGGTAAGACATAGCGAAACTCGCCATGGGCCCACGTGATGTCAATTTCTCCCCTGGAATTGTTTTCAGGATACCCCACTGAAAACTAACATAGACCCTGAAAACCACTGGTGTGTAGAGGAAAACAGTCTTTGAGGGTACCATTGTCAGGGTCCATGTTAGTTTTCAGGATAGTGGATGATGATTGCCAAGGGTCTGGGTTTACAGGATATCGAACTCTTTGATTCGGGACAGAAGGGGATGCATAAGCAGAAGCTGCTTGTGTCCAGCTTGGGCTGGTCAGGATTGGAGTAGAATCATGCGATCAGCTTCAGAAGGTTTTTAAAGAATTGCATGCCATGTTGACCTGCATGTAACTATTCCAGGAGTATAGAGTATTGAATCCGTAACAATAGCCAGGTCTCAACAGGACGCGTCAAGAAAAGCAGCGCCAGTTGGAAGCGAACAAAGACGTGTGTTTTGGGGAGACGTGGAAGACTACCACAAACCACCTTCAGTAGAATCGATGATCATATTATGTACGCGGGTCCTTCTTCTCGCCTTTCCGCAGGTTCTTGCACGCTAGCTTCAAGAAGCCAACCTAAGACTTGAGCACCTTCCGCATCGGGTGGACTCAAGACTTTGTAGACAAGCACGTTTTGAACCCAACATATGTTCATCTCTCCAATGCCGGAACAGTTTGTTCCGCATTCCGTTCCGCGTTCCGTGCGCTCAGGAACCCTGATCGACCTTCCATTGTGTCTCACAGCAGTCTTCGTGTTCTATGTGTGGCTCAAGTCCTATCAGCGCTTGGCCTCAAGATTCCAGTTCCGCGTGTCGACCGGAAGGGCTCATGTTTCCACGATGCGGGTCTCCGCAGGTATTCGCGCAATGCAAAACCCTTCTCAGAGTGCTTCATGGGGTGTTTTGTTGCTTGTTTTAGGAGGCAATGCAAGGCCAATGACCATACAAATCACTAATGACATCTAATGACCATTTATCACTATCACTGAGAACATGCCGTTGTCGTCGCCAACGCCTGATCACCGACCTGGCAAATCAGTTCATACGCCGAGATCACGATGAGTTGGAAACAAGCTCAAAACACTGTAAGAGATTTGTCAAATAATGTCAAACACATTACATTCAATTCAATTGTGTTAAAGAACATGTTCACTTCTCTTCGGAACATGCATGTGCACTGAAGAACTCAAGGTCTTCACACTTGATCCATCTGGTCTTCTTATATAGTCTTGAAGAGGTGATGACCGATCGACTCGATCATCCTCGCCAGGTTTGGCATTCAGACAATTCCAGCCTTTGACCTGTGCCTCACCCCGGCCTGTTTGCCACTTAGCTGGCGAGGAGAGGGTCCACATGGGTGTGTTTCGGAAAATAGACCAGGAAAAAGCCGGCCAGGGCAAAGGAGACCCCTCTTCAAATACAAACCCGTAGGGATTTGGTTCACTTGGATAATAGTTGGCGCCAGTTCAGTCGTCTAGAAAGAAGCAGTGAGTGAACATGGCCGCTCTTCAGGCCTGGGGACTCCGTGCGCGCCTGCGCTCATGCTTGCTCGAGCCGGGCCGGTACACCCCACGCCGAGCAAGCTGAACTTCGAATCTTATAAAGTCCGCTGTCATGAGGTCCAAAACCATTAACCCCCAGGGTCCGGAGACCCCAGGGTATGTTCAGCTTTAATAAAGGGGGAAGTTGCTAGAGATGTGGAAATGAATTTGTCAAACCCAAGTTGAGTCAGCTTGGACAACCTTTGCACGTCGGACCGGCTTGGTGAGGCTGGGTTCGGAGCGGGAGCCCGGTCCCGCATCGGCGGGTGTCAACCACCGAGTGAGGCCCTGGCTATTGTTTATCGCTGCCTACCAGGCTGACTGGTTGCCTCAAGGACGGGACTCGGTGCTTTTTTACATGCACACGGTGCATGTGGACTGCACCAGCGAAAGTCCATGGGATGAGTGACATATAGGGCCAGATGAGGATGGAGATAGGTTGATGTGCTTAAGAAGTTGCTCAGCTGGACCTCAGGTGTTGTGGCTAACGGCTTGCTTTTTCTTCAGTCAACATGGCTTAGGAAAGGACTCTTAGCTTAGCAACACACTATACGGTTAAATCAAAAAAGAATATAAGGGGGGGGGAATCATCTCAATGCAAACCTTTAGCTCTTCAATGCTTCATGACAACACTTTCTGATGTTTGAGTCAACCTGCCAGGCACTGTGCCAGACTCTGCAGCACTCAACACTTCCCCCATTTGAC